TTTTTGTGTGTGCTGAAAATCATCTTGGAAATTTGTTGTTGGAAATTTGGAAGAACATACTCAAGGAGTTGAGGTATTTACCTCAGGCCGCAAACGGCCGATTGAGACTACATCATTTCATAATTCGATTCAACTGAACCGAAACATTAATCTTTGTCACTGAGGCTTATTAGCCCCTGACAATTGTAATATTTGGGATGAGTATTTTTTTTCCTTTAGGATCCATATACAGTACAGCATACTGTATTTCTCTGTTTTCTTTCCTGGGGTGATGGAATGTTTTTGGATGAAAGTGGGTGAGAGAAGAGAGGGTTTGGAGGTGGGACTGTTTCTTGAACCTCGTGAATGCTGAAAAACAAAAAATATGGTTAGCTGTTCAATTCAATTCAATGAATGACATACCAAATCTGGTCTTCTAGGAAGGTCATTTCGGAATTTCAAACTTTTCCAGGATTATGCAGAGGTTGAACAGCTTCTTAAGCTCCCTTGCTCAAGTGTTTGAAGTACTGTAACTGTTTGCTTTGGGGTCCCCCTTCTAGTTATTTGAATGTGAGTTCATATAAATGTTCTGATCAGCTTCTTTTTCAGGTAAGAATATTTTGTCATTCAATTTTGCAATGAATATTTTTGTTTTCAGTTAGGTTGGGTCAGGATATAATTTAGCAATATACTGTAATTATGTACAAATCTTTACATGAAAACACAAAAAATGCTGGATCAGAGAAATATACCTTTGGCAAAGCATGAGAGCTAAACATTCTACATGTTGCACGGAATTTGCATAATAAATTCTGCATCTTTGAGTCTCTCATCTTCACAGTAGATGGTTAATTTGTCAGCCAAATCAGAGTGCTGTGGGTGAAACAACATTTTTTCAAAATTCAATCATCAATGAATCCAATTTTCCACTCTACATTGTTGCATCAATTGAGGTTGCTGACTTTGGAAGGGTCCCAGTGAACACAAAGTCGTCTGTTTTTCTTCCAAAATTATCCAAAAGTGTACAAATTTCCTCCAAACTCCTCAAAAAGCAATCCAAAAGTGTTTGCCTAAGTTGGACATATGCGGTCAATATTTTGAGAAGTTTGGAGTAATTTGGACACTTTTGGATAAGTTTGGAGGAAATTTGGAGGACTTAGTCCTATTCATTTGGAGGAAATTTGCACACCTTAAGATGAGTTTGAAGAGGTTTTCAACATGTTTTGAAAATAATTTTTCAAAGTCAAAAGCAAGTTTATGTACAAATCTCACCTGAGTCAATTCTTGAGCAACCATCTACATAACATATATACAAGCACACAGATTATTTTCAAATTTTCAAATGCTCTGGGGAGTTGCATTTGGACTCTTTCAAACAGGATTACACAGTCCTAACCATTAAGCTAAACAGCCACAACCATGGAATGCAAGTGGAATGGTTTTAGATGAACATTTACAGCAGTGCCACAAAAACCCATTGGCTTGGCTGCATTTATTAATAATTCACTTTTGTTATTGGCTTTGCAGTTGGGTAGTCACACCATACAAAAACAACCATGCAACTACACATTTTGATAACCAATACAGTATCATGCTGATTTTGTACCATGCACAAACTTGTGCAGAATCAATTGTGCAGATTTTGCATAAGTTTTCACATGGTGTGCCTGCACCATTGTATGGCCATGATATGCAAGAACAAATGGAATAACCAATACAATATTGTGCTGATTTTGAATCATGCAAAAACTTGAACAAATTCTGCACATTTGATTTTGCACGAGTTTTTGCATGGATGGCATGCAACAACAAATTTTAAAACAATTTTACAGACTTCAGGATGGACAGCTGCCAGGTTCCATACTGACCTGATCAACAATAAGCACAGTCCTCAACCCCAGAGCAGGTCTTAACTGCAGACATCTTGTGATTGGAATAATTTAAAAAATTAATCACAAAACAGGGATGGCTCTGTTTTTGCAGGGTTATAGGACTAATTGTAGTGCAGCTCTAAAATTTTAATCATTCTTGTATACGTTAGTTGTGGGAAATATTCATAATTTTTGGAAATGAAAAACTGAAAGTGAATATTTCAAAAGGATCCCTTTTTTTGAATTAAACTCACTTTCAAAATTATTTTCATTTCCTGAATTACTCTCATTTTTGTTGAGTTAGCGCCCCTTAAAGTTTGGCTTATATCCAAATTTTGTTTGTTGAGAATTAGTCATATATTTTGAAGTTGAAAATGAATAAACAAAATACAAAAATCTGCACACCCCAAAAAAAATGGATATTTGGAGAGCCGCCTGATTCTTGGAAATGTGTGGACTACATTTGGACCCTCATCCAAATGTAGTCTGCACATTTGGACTGCATTCGGATGTACGTATCAAATGCAGCACATCCAAAAGCAAAGAATCTTTTTTAAGTTTGGATTGCTGTCAAGTGTCAACATACATCCAAAAAATGTGGAAATATTTTGGATGCATGCAGACTGTTGTCCAAAAATGCAGCAATTCATTGGATTTGCGTGGACATCAGTCTGCACACACCCAATGGAAAATGGTACATTTTGGACTAATGCGGACCTGTTTGGACTACTTTAGAACACCTTTTGGATGAAAGTTGGACTACTTTTGGATAAATCAATTAATTTGGTTCACTTTGGAGGAAAAATGGACAACTTTGTGTTCATTGGAGTAAACTATAGCACTGTATGTCATAATTCTCAGGTGGGAAAAAGATCGAAACCAAGTGAACAGTTTTCCCAGTGAATAGTATGATGGGTCGTGAGTCGTGACTCGTGATCCTCTTATTTTTTCATTGCATCTTGACTCTTGAGTCAATATAAAGGGATGATGTCTATCATGAATTGAAGCGGAAGAGCAAACAAATAACTTGTTCATGAATTGGCAAAACGTAAGATAACCTCCTATTGTGAGTGCAATTCCAACTGGAAATATAGAATGTTAACAAAACTGCATTTTTGAAAATAAAAAATTAACTGGTTTACCAATAAGTACAATAATATTCCTTCCGCAGCAGTCAGGGCCCTTATCTGGAATGCATTCGCTATATACTTATCTATCACAATAGTATACATATATAGTCATTGACATAAATGTTCGTACAGATTTTGAATCCGAAAGAAAACAAGAAAACTTTCATCGTTCATCGATATAGCAGAAATTTCTACACGAATCACTCACCTACTACTGCAGCATAAATCTCCTGCAGGAGTTGAATAACTATATATTCTTGATCACGAAATTGACAGCAGGGAAGTATACGTTGCTGCTGATGGGATCTGATGTCACACGCCAAAGCCTTTGTGAACCTGGAAGCCCGAAACCTGCAGCAATCCTTATGGAAGGTTTAAACAGATAAATTTACCGTCGCACGTACCACTCCATCATTTAAGATAACACTAGCTGTCTTCCAATCGTGAGTATTGAAGCGATTCAGGAACATTCGGACGCCGTTTCAGTCATTATACATACAGGTAGTAATGCCAAACAACTCTTTGGGTCATTTGGCGTCAATTTTTGAGATCTCACAAAGCAACAAAAACCTGCAATATAAATAAGAGTACAGCCCCACAATCACTAGTATATCCGTTGGCATGAAAGTGAAAGCTGGAGAGAATGATCCGACCGGAAAGTGACCTTGGGAAAAGCACCAATGAACATCAGATCAGATGTTTAATATTATCCTTGACAACACTATGTGAGTATGTATATACAGCAGTACGTTCTTCTGATCAGCATGGCTCAGTTTCGACCATCATAAGATAAAATTCTCACCGCAATACGTTCATATACTGTATATAGTCACAATATATATACTTAAAACAAATTACAGGGCTTTGCTTTAAAATTACACACACGTGCTATACAATATCACGACGTCGTAAACGGAAGGACAAAAGAACCAAGAATAAACTATTCAAAATCTATACGAGGGGAATCTGAAGAAATTCCAGCACAAGTATATAACACAATATCCACAGAAATCCATCAGTTTTCATGGGTGCTTTCCCGTTTTCTCTGCCATTTTGTCGGAACACGTTTCTCCGCGATACTGTCTCCCCCCCCCATGCACCTGATTCAGCAACACTGATTTTAATGTTAGTACCATGAGAACAAATGTATTTCGGACAGCACTGATTTGAAACGGCATTTCCTTCGCACACTTCCCAGCAGTCCTGAGTAGTATATGTGCAAGACTCTCATGCACTCCGCCAAAGACCTACGTCAACCATAAATTATTTTGGTATGCAGAGCGGATACGATGGTGTCCAACCCTGATGCTCAAACGTCCAACGCTCTGTGACATGACGTATGTGCAGTCACTTTCTGGATCCCGGCGACCACGAGATAACTTGCGTGCCATCATACATTTTGCATAATCCTTTCAAGCTGTTCGGAGCAGTGCGTAAGATGCCTGATGCTGGATCTGAGCAGTACGTGTTGGTTATATTTGATGGATATTCAGAATTCTTAAACGCTTTCCGGCGTTGTTATTTCCAGTAAGGGATCCGTTTTGGTATCGGCATCGAAATCGATGATTGAAGGATTGTAGGTTCTGTTGAATGCCGGGGGCATCTTGATGGCCCCAAAACGTTGTCCTGCTGGCAACTCAATTGCCTCCGAGTCTTTGCCAGTGACGTTGAAATCTCCTTTCATTCCTGTTCCTCCGCCGGAATAGTGCAAATTCTTGTGTTTGTTGCCCGTCATCGGCCTCCTCGTAGCATCGAGTCCGTCATCTTCGCTTAAATCCTCACCAGCACCGGTAGTGTCATCCATGCTTGATGTTGCGACGGTTGGAGGGATGAGAGTCGCTACCGGGAGCAGGAAGTAGTTCTTGATGACTTCCGTTCGGAGGTCATACGGCGATTGTGTTCTGGTCGTTGGTTCCGTTGGCAACGTGGACACCAGGACCCATTTGACAGTTGTTCTCGGCGTTCGTTTCGTAGCGGACAGTGTTTTGCTTCTGTTACTGATGGTGTGTGATGTTGTGCTGGACGATGACATCAGCGACCTCATCCGTGATGTGACAGGTTTTGCAGTTGTAGTAGTCATCGGTGTTGTTGTACTTTTCCTTTCTGTGGATGATTGGGTTGTCCTTTTGGTTGTCGTCGTGACTGTGGTTGGTGGTCTAGTGCTGCTGCTGGTTGATAGTTTGAGCCTGAAGATGATACGGGTCGAGAATGTCCGCGGATGAGTGCTGGATCGGAACCGTCTGATGCTATATTTCCTTATTGGATTACTGGTGCTGGTAGAGTAAGGCCTGCTGAAGCTTCGGGTAGCGTGGGTCACGCTGTACGGACCAGTTTTGTGTGCTGGTTTTGCCGTTGGACATTTGTAAGTGACCATTGCTGAACCTTGGTGGCTCATGAGTTTCCCGAACACGGTTCTGTCTTTTGTTCGTGCATTATTCTCACCTCCATCATCTTCAGCCGGTGGACATTGAAATAATTGTTGCTCAATCTGATGATGCTCAGTTGTCATCGACTCGCTGTGGTTTTCATCAGGCTTGACGGATTTTTGCATGAATTGAGTAGATGCTGCAGACGATGGCGGAGTTGTCATCTCGTATCTGACTGTATCGGCGGGTCTTCGAAACAAGTTTTGAATGAACTTCCGATGAGTCGTAGTTGCATCACTAGTCCGTACGACACGGAATGCTATACTTTCAGAGACATTTTCACGCATCTGCCAAGTTGTTGTGCTTGCATTGGAGTTATCATCCATGACCTCATCAGTGTTTCGTCTCGTGAAGAGGAATGCTTTATCGGCATCATTCTGCGTGTCATTGTATGTACTGATGGTCGTTGAAAATGGTGATGGTAGTGTGGAATATTTCGATCTTGGGATTAAATTTCGCAGCTTTTCCAGAATTTCTTTGCCGAGAATGTGGTGTTCCAAGCGAATGACCTTTTTGTCGCTTTCCCGCTTCCCCAGAATGGTTTCTGCGTGTTGTGGCTATCATGAGCAAAATAGTTTGATCGTTTGCATTTTTGTGACGGTTGTCAAATTTGTTGCCTTCAAATGCATAAATTGTGCTAATTTCTCGTAATTTTATGCATCATACAATGAAAGGGAGAATGGAAGCAGCTTGTCAAAAAAGTTCAGATAACTTGAGGAGTTTCGGGGTCACTGGAAAATGAGTACTGCTGCTTCATCCATCATATAGTCCTTCATAAGTTCTGTCAGGAATGTTTGAATATCTTCGAAATGAAATCAAAAGATCTTTTAATATTTTGCTGTGTATATCGACGAGTTAGTTTGAGTAAATTCATCAACACATTTTTTTGTGATATGGCTGCTTTGCACTATACTCATGCAATCATTTTCAGAGCTATAATCTTTTCATGTGATTTTCCTCAAATTTGTGAACTGGAAAAAAGGATTTTCTTAAAAACTGCTCATTATTTTTAATGCATTCCCATGAAGTTCATCATTTGTGTGAATGATGATACGAATGCAGTACATTTACATGGAATGTCTCAATCTTTGCCAGAAGGGAGAATACATGTTGAAGTCAATCAAATTCACGGAAATGGAAACAAAACATCGAAGTTGCTTGTGGAGCCAAAAATATTCATCAATGGACTTTCTCTAGAACAAAATTCAAAAGACCAGAACTTATTTTTTCTTTATTCTGAGCAAATTTCTTGAGTGAGCAAATACATGTATTCAAAAACATTTATGATTCTTTATGTGAAATGCATGCACTGTGTGGCTGTACAGAGCAATTGTCACTGTTTCTAATGTCAGCCATTCACTGTAATACTTTTGAACTTTCAATGTCTGTCACTGGTTTGTTATGTTCTCAAATGTGACTTTTGTAGATCATCAAATTGAGTAAAGTATATATATGCGTAACTTGACTTTTCAAAATTGTCTAAAGCCTGTTTTTTTAGAGCCACTTTATTTTTGGACGCACTATGTCAGACAATATTTTAATATCCTGTTTAGGAAATTGGGTACTCACCCAGTCCAAAGAATACCTGCGTAAACTGCTTGAGAGAGGCATTCTGTGATTAAAGGTGTTGATCCTCCCAAATGTTTGTGTTGCAGTTGTTTGCCAAATATCTTCAAAAGGGGGAATTTGTGCAAGTAGTATAAGTACAGTCCAACGTCTTTGAGTCAAACTTCGAAGAACCAGGAATAAAATACAAGTTGGAGAGGCTTACAGCTATGAAATGCCATTTTTTTTAGGGAAAAGAAGGAAGAATGACAGGAAATTTCAATTGGTGACATTCCTGGCTTAAAATTGCCTCTTGAATTAACGATATACAGTGGGGTCTTGGTTAATGAATGCCCTGGTCAACAAACTATTTGGATAACAAACTTTGCATTGTGACTGGGCTGCCTTGGATAACAAACCATGATATGGTTTACTAAATTTGATTGCAAAGGCAGGCCACCCAAAATGCCAACCTTCTTGGGTCTGCATTTGACACCATATATTTCAAAGTAGATATTTCTAGCTCTTCTGCAGGATTGAGGTTTTAATTATAAAATTAAATGATTCCTGCGTGACTTTTAATTTATTTCGATAGTTCCTTTCTTTTTTTGTGCGCATATTTATTCACTGTTCTCTCAATCTGCTTGCTACTGAATAAAATTGGATTTAGAGCTGAAGTACAAATGTAGAGAAATGAAAGTCAACTGAATTGTGTGAAAAGATTGACAATAAAGAGGCCCAAATACATTTAGTTGATGACTTTTTTTGTGTGGAAAGTATTGACTTGACCTTCCCTCGCTGGCATCCTTTTCAAACTCCTATATCTTCATCAAAACTTCTTCCAGCATATATTCTGTTTTTTTCTGTTAAAGGTTCTTGAATTTTAGGTCCAGTAGAAACTTTAGGTGAGCATTTCATTGCTTTTCATTTGTACACTTTTGAAGCTCTGGAACCAATTAAAATCATCCCTACACTTCCTTGAGGAAAAATGTAAGTTGGTTCAGAAACTTCACTTAGGCATGGATTAAGTTTGTAAACCAAGACCCCACTGTAATAGCAAAAAAGGCCTCTAGAGAAAATTTGAGTAATGGAGGCTAAGGGGGGAGTCTTTTAAGTAAAGAGAGATCTTTAAACCATTGTTACCATGGGAATCCAGACAGATATTTGAAAAAATTGAAGTAAGTTATTTGACTTGGACAGAATAGGGTTATTGAAGTTTGGGTGTAATAAGGACAAATTTACTACAGCCCAGTAGATTCTATCATTTGAATGATTTTGGAGTGAAGTTGAGTTGAGAAAAAAACAGTATATGCCTGGAATGGGGGAGTTGGATTCTGAAGTGTCTCACACTCACCAAAAGCAGAACATACTATGAGTAACTGACACAAACCACATGCAGGTTTCACTTTTATAGAAACCCTATTGTTCCTGGGTGATGGCTTAACCATCATGTTGTCCAGGACATATAACCAGCACAAGACAAAAGAAATAAGAGGGATCAAGATTTTAACCTCACAACTACCCTCTCATGAAAACAAGTTTTAATTTTCATGCTATCTGAAATGTCGACCGTCAGTGTTTTCCTCACTGAAATGGCGGACTTGTGAAGTGTATAGACTGGGCAAGCAGGTTTCCGCGAATTTTATCTTTTCCACTGGGCATTTCAGAAAACACAAGCTGAAAGGGAAAAATATTTGCTATGGGGGGAAGTTTGGGGAGATTAGTTCCCGGATGATTTGTATGCCTCATCTTCGCGTCAGTCATTGGTGGCCAGTTGTCAAGTTCGAATTTTATGAAATTTCCCCACTCAGAGGTAGCCCTAGGGTTTGGGGTCCTGGGGAAGATTTGTGTGGTACGGGGACTCTTGAAAAGAAAAGCTTCCACTGCCGATTCCCACGCAGCATCTCAAGTATTTAAAAATGAAAAATAAATTAATAAAGTTTCGAATTTTAGCTCAGATGCTCGTTCCGTTACACTTCTTGGAGCCTGTAAACAGATTTTTGTGGATTACATTAAATAGAATTTCAACATTTTGGTATTCTACTTTTTGGAAAATACTGTACATGTTTGTATATACAGTGAGACCCCCAGATGCGGACATAATTGGTGTATCAAGAGTTTCTGTATGTTGGATTGTCCCCAAGTCGAATCTTGTTTTCCCTTAGACTTAAATTGTATAATTTTTAATTGGTATTTTATGGAAGAAATATTTTTGCCACTTGAATTTGATTCAATGAATATCTTTTTGAACCAATAAGAACATTTGGAACATTGAATAGTGTACCTCTGTACAGTAAATTGAAAAGATGGCATCTGGAAAAATAACATCTATGTCATAAAGAGAGCTAGAAGGAAGTCCGTCTGTGCTAAAGGGCATTTTTTAAATCAGCTGAAAGGATGGGAAAATGATGGGAAAAGTACCAAAGAATTTTTCTTGCATAGATCTTAGGTTGGAAACATATGTTTCTTGCAAGTAAGCCTTATAAAAATTGATTTTCCTAAACGAATTTTGGAATTTTATCCTGCAATGTCCCCAGGTTGAGTCAGTGTCCTAACGTTCAGTCTTTTTTATGATTTTTTTATAAATAAGTGTCCCCATGTCAAGGTGTCCGCATGTGGGGGTCTCACTGTATTTGATTAGTATTTTCCACCTGCTTGAGAAAGATCAATTTGGTTTTTGCTGAATTGGTTGTAAAATTCCAATCTTCAATATTAAAAATCAGCAGAATTGGCCTGAGCATATTCCTTAATGATTTTCATAACAATGATGACTTTCACTTCAGAAACAAAGTGCAGTTGATTGAATGTCAATCAAATTACAAACTTTCTGAGAACAAATTAAGCAGCTGAATATCTCTCAACATTCTGCAGTTGAGTGAATAAATTGTTTGCAAATGTATTTCTGGTAAATGTGTCTGTGAATTAGACAGCCAACCCTCTTCAAGTTGAATTTGGAAAGAATAAAAAATTGAACCTGTGAATTGTCAAGGTTACCGGATATGGCTGGATCTCTGTAAAGGTCAGTCAAGAAAAAAAATTCTCACCTCATAATCATAATTTTCAATTACTCACTCAATTCCGGACTGAATAAAGTTTAACAATCTCATTAGAAAAGCTTCAAGGTGATGACTTTTTTACTGTACTAAAGGGTGCATTCAAATTCAGCCTGTAGCATTGAGTTTTTTTACTGATGAAATACTTTGCATAGAATCCAAAAATTTCAAGTTATGGGATTTATACAAAATTTTTTGCAAGGGAGTTCACAGTGCCAAATAATTGGCAGTTATAATATTACAGAAATGCTTGACTTCAAAAGGTGTAACTTAGCAAGGCCCAATTACAATCTTGAGATGTATTAGAGAAAGCCACTTTTTTTGAAAGTCATGAATTGTAATCTGAATTTTATTTTGAGATTGCCGCATCATATTTTTGTTGGAAATTATTTTTTGAAAATTCGTAAAACATTTCACAAAAACATGGAAAATCTTGAATTTGAGGATGGTTTTGACTTGATCATTTTGCAATGTAAAATTCTTTAAGATGCATTTTTTGGATTCAGAAGTTTTCCTAATAACTCATCATGACTTCTAAAAATGTTAAAAGGCATCTATCTTCAAAAGAATGTCATGCACTCAACACAGAAAATTTTTAATGAATTTGGAAAGCAACTGTGCCAAGATTTTTCTGAATGCATTGTCTGGTATTTTGTGTTCTAACAACAAAACAGCTTACAGTAACTAATTTTTGCGCAGAGGTATGAACAATCACATTTCCCACTGATTCTGCATTCAAGGAAAGGTGGAACAAATTTTCTTCAGATGAGGGATGGCCCATTTTCTTACCCACCCAACAGTGGGTGTCAGAGGCAACCTGATGGTGATTTGAACTATGTTATCATGCACAGTACAGCAGTTTAATTCAACATTTATCCAGACCCATTTCTTACACTCACTATACACACAAGTACTACATCTCAAAATGTAAACTGCACTTGATTAAACAGGAGGGAAAA